GTACATGGTCTACAGGGTCTCATTACACAGATTGCACTTGTAGTGATCCTCCTGTTTTCAGCCTCCTAAGCACTGGGATAGCAGGCACACACCACCACACCCAGTCTTAGTACCATCTCAGCCCACCCAGGGTGGGGCCAGCACAGCCTGCTAGGGATCAAACCATGGTCTTTGCACCTAGGTGCTTTTGTCTGCTGAGCTATCTGGCTGGCCCTTACTATTTTGTTTTAATATCTTCTTTAAAAAATTCTTTAATTTTCTCTAATGAGAGAAAGATACATGTTTTATACACATGTACAAATTTTTCCCCCATTATTTAGGAGTAATTTGAATAGTGTTTCTTTATAGCATTTTATTATTTCCTAAAAGCAGGAATATACCTGCATCAGATAGTACAGTTATCAAGGCCAAGACATGAGAGTTGATACTTTATGTACAAAATTATGCAAATTTAGATCCAAAAATGAAAATAATGTATTAATGCACATTTAAAAAGACTAGAAATCCTAAAAAAATATTAAACACCACATCGGTTTTTCCTAAAAGTAGTTTTCTTTAAAGCAACAACAAATATAACGTGTGCATTCAGGATATATCAATTATGTATATAAAACTAGAAAAAACCTAACATAAAGATGGTTTTAAAACTGGAGCTGAATGTTTTCTTCAGTATATTTCTTTTCAAACGATCAGAGAATGTTTGCAGTTGGTAATAAATATTCAAGCACCTTGCAAATGTCCTACCAATTCTCTTTCCTGATCTGTATATGCCTGTGGGATTAGAATAGGAATGCATAATTTAAATACAAATTGCCTGATTTGCATATACAATTAGTCATGCTACAGCTTTGATCGTAAGCAAAAATTATTGTCCTGTATTACCACTTAGATAGAATTTTAATTCACCTTGAATATTCAAACTAAATTAGACCCTGGCTGTATAGTTAGAAGGGCAGCGCTTCCCTGGTGCCCCGAGTCGTTTATGATAGGGCGATAAAGGCGTCTTTGGCCCCCTGGTGTAGAAGGTGCCTTAAGCGCAGTCTGCAGTATCTTGATTGTATCCAGATTGTAAGTGCATACCTTGAAGCAGCCAGCAAAGGCTTAACATTTTTAGTTAATATTTCCAGTCAGGATCAGTCCCTTATATTTTCGTTGGTACAATCTAGCAGACAGTAATCACAAACAAATGTTCTTGAGGAATAATGTTCCAGAAGGGATAAGCCACAGAAGTCACGACGGGGAGTTACTTCTACAGGAGAATTGCTGAGCATCCTAAAGTAGACTCTGTATAGGAATTTAAGAAACTGTAGGAATATGTACATCCCTTACATTTTTACTCTATAGTAAAACATTTTTATTAGGAATCTATGTTTTTAATTAAACAGAACATTTAATTAAGGTGCTTTTTAAGTGGGTGAAACAATTAAGTGCAAACACTTGAATGAAACATGTCATAATTAGTTTTAATAGAGTGTTAATTGATACTAGGTTTGCCAAGTTAATAATTACTGCTTATTAAATTTTCAATTAATCATTGTCATTTTGCTTTGAATAAAGATGAAAATTAGATAAACTAATTCAGGGGGAGGATATTTTCCCTTGTTAATTAGAACAGTTAATTTTTTTAAATGGAAATTACTTGTTTTAGTTGTCAATCTTGTGTTGTACATTAGTTGAATCTTTGCACCCTTCCTGGTGCCAAAAATAAGAGCTTGTTGGACCCATCGGAGGTTTGTGGCCAGGGCAGACAGCACTGGCTGGCAGTAGAGGCTGTCTGTCCAGGGCAACAGTTGGTAATCCAGAGCTGTTAATGATGCTGAAGGACAATAGCTTAAAACTTAGAAATCTATCTCTATCTATCTATCTATCTATCTATCTATCATATTAAAAGTCATTTGGTCTATAGAAGTGTATATCTGCATTACTTAGGAAGTAACTTCAACTTCAGAAAAAGTAAAGCCAGATCATTTATTTCATCATCAATTTGATTTTGTTATTTGAGATGAGGGTCTAGCTATGCACTTTAGGCTGGCCTTGAGCTCACTGCATAGCCAAGGCTGATCTCCAACTCACAGTGGCCCTCCTGCTTTAGCCTCCCAAGTGCTGGGATGCCAAGTGTTTGCCACCACACTTGGCTCATCAATTTTAAGAGTCTGTATTAATTGCTGAATTAACTTTTAACCCTTATGCTGATTTCTTTTTACCAGAAAATAATGATTTGCATTCATTTTTTTTGTGCATGTAAAATGTACCACTTTCAGTTTTCTGAACACTTATATACTCTGCCCTTGAACTTCCTGGGTTCATGTTAACGGAGTCAGGGAACTCTTGTCTTCATGTGTCTGAGTGGCCCCAGACAGTTGTCTTGTGGATGATCTCTCTTTCTAGTACTCAGTGTGGTCTCAGACTCAGGGCTACAGACACTAACTTGGTAGGGAAGTGGTAGGAACGCTACCTACATTTTAAATATATTTCCAGGAGTGCAAGTTAAATAATCCTTACTCTAGTTCCTCACTCCTTGCTTTCCAAAGTGAATCTCAAAGAGTGCTAGTTTTTCCAGGCAGCCAGAGCTGCACAGTGATTTGGAGGAGAGGTGTACATGCTCTGTAGGGTTCTGAGCAGGGGCAACCAGTGTCCAAGGGCCAACAGTGTCCAGGGGCCTGCACTAATGCGTCTGTTCTCTATTGCTCCCGATCTGACCCATCCACAGAGGAGGCCGTGAACGAGGTGAAGCGCCAGGCAATGACAGAGCTGCAGAAGGCTGTGTCTGAGGCGGAGCGGAAAGCCCACGACATGATCACGACGGAGCGCGCCAAGATGGAGCGCACGGTGGCTGAGGCCAAGCGGCAGGCGGCGGAGGACGCGCTGGCTGTCATCAATCAGCAGGAAGACTCCAGTGAGGTGAGGCTGGGGCTTCCCGGAAAGAGGGTGATCTCCACCACAAGAGTGCTCTTTTGGCCCCAGGAGATTACAGATTACAGCAGATTTTAGATAAAGCTTTGGGGAAAAAATGTAAACTGATTTGGAAGTCTCTTGTGGAATTGACTAAGAGCTAGTTGTGCTTATTTATTAAAGACCTAAAAGAGGCCGGGGAGATGGTTCAGTAGGATAAGCACTTCCCTGGCAAGCACAAGGGCCTGAGTTCAATCCCTGGTTCCGCAAAAAAAAAAAAAAAAAAAAAAAGTCCTAAAAGAAAAAAAATTGAGATTAGAAAGGTTTTTAATGTATTTGATTAAAATAGCCTAATGTGAAATTCTTATGACTTTCTAGTACTCCTCAAAGACTCAGTTGGCTCTGTATGTCACACGTGCACACATGTGCATGTGCACAAACACACATGGTTTCCTTTTTTTTTTTTTTTTTTTACCAGAAGGGCTCTAATATGCCTTTGTGGTCTCCAAAGGCATATTGCATGCTGGGTTCTGATTCACTTCTTTGGCTATTGGTCTTAAACTCCATTGTCAAAACATGATTTTAGATGTCTGAAATATTTTGTATGCATTCTGTATCTCCACATTATTTTTCATAACCATGAAGATAGTATTTACATAAGGTTGCTGTCAGAAGTAATATTATTTAGTATTTTTCCAGCATTTTAATTACACACACACACACACACACACACACACACACACACACACACGTATATATACACATGCACTCACCAACAGCCCAGATGACTTAAGGATCTGGGAAGTAAATAACCAAAGTGTAACAGAACACTTTTTAAGAAAGTGTTTTAAGAAGTCAGAGCAACCTAGACATGATCCACATTAATTAATAAAGTATCACAGTCATAAACCCCTAAGAAACTTTAGCTAAAAGAGTACAATTAGCTAGTCTCACAAAGCTGAACTCAAAGGCATGAACTGATAAATCAATTGTCTACTACAATACATATCTATAATTTGTGAGGGAGAGTCAGAATTTAATTTGTACCAGGCTTTTCTGTAGATGAAAGACACTGCAGGAATCACTCAATGCCCAGAGTTTCTATTTAATGGGTAGCAGATGAATAACAAGGGGACAAAAGGAATTGATTTTCAACATTGGAAAGTTTCTCAGGAAGAGAGGGACAAAGGGAAGTTTATCTACCCTTTAACTGCTGACTTTTTCATTGTTGACCTAAACTAGACAGAAATTCAATTTTATTGACATCTAGCACTGAGCTATGCAAGGACTTTGTGTATTTTATGTTTTGGTGGTTTTTTTTGGAAAAAATTTTATTAGCATCTCTTGAAGAGAACTTGTGCATGTTAGTAACATCATGAGGAACATTTGTCCTGCGCAACAGCGTTTGCACATGAACGTTTCAGGGCTGTGTGTATGTTAAGAGTGTTATAGAGGTCAGTGAATTCTAAAACCAACTGTCTAGGAAGAAATTAGTGACATAGTGTGTGCTTCAGGCACCTACTGTAGAAGCTGTTGTGTCTTTTTTATAAAATCTACCCAGGAAAATACACAATTTTGACACAACATTTTAGCATTATCTAAATATGGTCTGTTGAGTAGATCTCTGGTCTGCAGAGCTTCCCGGGCCCCTCTGGTCAGCCAGCAGAGCTCTGGCTTCCTTGGGGAAGCACAGAGTGCCCTGTTGCGGCTTCACTGTGTTTAGTCTGCAGGGTGGGGGCCCTTGCAGGTTAGGGCCCTGTGGCCCAGCTGGTCTGCCAGGTGTTTCAGTGCTCCAGGTTCTCACCTGTGACGTAATTTTCAGGAATTTTCTTAATGATTAGCCATTGGACCCAGGAGCTCCAGAGGCACTAACAGCACGCAGTACCTATACTCCATTAACCATTGGACCCAAATAAGGCCCACAAAGCATTGTGCTTTAAACATGTAGAACTCTTCATTTTCTGGCTATGATAGTAACTGGTTGAAAATAATATATATACATTCCCATTAAGTGTAATGGTTATTGATTTTCGAACTGTGTTAGAAATTAATGGACCTCCTTTTTGTGACCTACCCAGGGAAGTGGTTATATGATACATATACCTTTAAATTACGCATATCCATTTATTTGTTTATGCTCTCAACAAATTCTTGAGCTTTTATTACATATCAGGGACAGTGCTGGCACTGAGGGTACAGCAGTGACTGCTTGTGTTAACTACAATTCACTGAGTCGAATAACTAAATTATATGGGTCGTAAAAAGTTTCAGGCAAAGGCTTCTCATGTTGAGCACGCTGGTTGGCAGCTGTCCTCCACTCCTCCCCAGCCCTTCTGCCTCTTGCTGTTCCTGCATGAAGTGGGCTTCGATCATGCAGGAGCAGAGGGTGACAGGGAGGGAATAGCTGTGGGCGTTGAGCAGAAATCACTCAGACTTCAGGGCAGTGAAAGTGGGCCAGGGCATCTCTGTTTCAGGAGAGAGATAGGGAGCAAGAGGGCAGGGTGAGTGTGGTTGATGGTGGTGCCAGGGGTGGGGCTAATTGGATGTGCTATCTGGGAACCTATGGGCTGGAATGGGCAGGGCATGATGCTTGAGTCACTGTCAGGAAAGAAAAGGTTAGTTATGATTTTCAGTGGACCTGTTGGGCTTGGAGTTCATGCACATCAGGTTGTGTTACTTGAACCACCTTCAGAAACCTGCTGGCTTTGATCTATCTGTCCAGGATAATGTGTAGGGATACCAGGGAAGATGACCTTTGTGTGCTTTGTGTGTGTGTGTGTGTGTGTGTGTGTTCTGTTTCCATGAACAATGCTAATCAAAATACTTGAAGGCTCAAGTCCATTATTTAATCCAGCTAGACAGGCACAGCTTCTGTTTGGGTTGGAAGGGGTAAGTGGAGCATGGAGTCTTAAAGGTTCAATCTGCCCTATGTAGAAGGCAGATGGTGCATTGTCCTCCTCTTCATTACTGTGAGTGTTGTCTTCCTTCTTTGGTGTCCTGCTTTGGATGACAAATCACAGGGTCTCAACTCTTAAAGACCGTCCACGGTTTGCTAGTTGATGATCATATTCTGCTGTGCGACAGAGAAACCTAAGAGCAGGCCCAGAAGATGGAAGTGAACTGGTTGCCCCTCAGCTGTCATCTCAGGGATGACTTATTTCACTCTGGTCAGACTCTATCTCAAAACACATGTTACTCACCATAGAGAGCTATTTAATCTTTTTTTTACATCATTATATTCTTTTTTCTTTTTAATGTGTTTGGTACAGGGTCTCACTATGCAGCTTGGACTCACATCTTGGACTTGTAGTGATGCTCCTGTTTTCAGCCTTTCCAGTGCTGGGATTACAGGCTTGCATCACCACACCCGGACTAAGTTGCGTGCTCAGCACACCCGGGGAGTGGGACCAGTGCTGGCACAGCATGCGGTACTGGGGATTGAACACTGGTCCCTGCGCTTTCCTAAGCAGGTGCTTAGTCTGCTGAGCTATCTTTCTGGCCCTAGTATTTTCATTTATTCTGTTTTAAGAACTAAAATTCATGACATTATCTGCTTGTATTTCCCAGCATACTTCTGCACAGCGTACGCTATTCTAAACTTCTATGACAGGAACCGCATTCCCTTCCCTCCTTCCTTCTCTTTGTTTGAAGCCACCTCCCACTGTAAACATCTAACCCATCTTATTTAGATCATGTGTATAACCTATATAATCCAAGTCTACAAAAATATATGTGGATCATGTACACAGATTATTCTGCGTCCTTTTTTCAGGGACTTTAAGAAGGCACCTGAGCATCGTAATTGGAAAGCTTGAGTTGTAGGCCCATGTTTCTCCCAAGTTGGGTAGTTAAGTTCAGGACTCTTGAGCACTTTGTCTGTACTTTTGCATTTATCCATCCTCCTCCTCCGTCCTTTCACATGTTAAGTGGAAGTGATAATGCTCATTCTGTGTAGAAAAACCAGTGGTTCCCAAAGTTCGACAATAGAAGATCCAAAAGGAGGCGAGAAGAGTTGAAGACTTTTGGTGAGAAGCCCAGTAGGAAGGAAACACAGAAGCAGGAAGTCAAAATGCATGGCTGAGGCAGCCTATAATGTATCCTCCAAACTCGGACCCTTTCCATAGTAAACAAGGTGCCCTTGCAGGTGTAGACCCCTCCTCTGAGCCAGTCTGTCTGGGGCAGTGCCAACCCCATGGACGACGGCAGAGTGATCGTGGGTCACCTGAGCATTGTTCTGCCTGAGATGAAATGAGACCTGTCGTGCCTGTGCAGCCCTGTGTAGGTGAGGAGCAGACTTGCTTTTCGCTCAGCAGCGCATTCTCTTCTCATGCTGTTCCTCTCTGAGTAGAGAATTGTTTCCTTCCTTTTGCAGGTGAGGATGCAGGGTCGAAAGTGAGTGGTTCAGCCACCTGCTAGCACATCAGAAACACTGTGTGTGTGAGCTGATGATGCTAGTCCCAAGGTGTCTGGCTCTCAGTGACCTTCTTAAGAGCCACACAGCAGTGGCGGGAATTGCCTTTCACTGACTGTGTCTTAGGGTGTCTGTTTCTTCACTAGACTTCAATCATTCCCACCTAGTTTCTTAACTTGAGCTTATAGACTAATTACTATCACTCACAGGATAACACATCCTAGTCAATATGACATTTTATCTTTTGAAGGCTTTTTATATACTTCATTGAGAATGTAATGCCAGCAGTAATGTAAAGCAAAAGATGTTAATAGAATCTAATCATCTTGAATTCCTAAAGTGTTTTCAGTTTTGGTTTCGTTTCCTACCTGTGTACACACAACTTTTTGTCCAGTGAGCATGGTCACATTCACACAACTTGTGGTGAGACGTCTACAGCTCCTCCTTGAGATCTGCAGCTTGCTCTGGCTGGGGTGACC